CATGTTAGGCTACTCCACATATTGTCAATTGGTTTTATGTGGGAACCTTAACATGGTATCTAGAGTTTAAGGTTATTTTTAATTTTTTTTTTCGCCTTTGACCACTATTGAAGCCGCCACCACCGCCGCTATCGTTGTCGGTTATTTGGTAGTGTCAAAGTGCATGTCTAGGAAAGTTCTGACAAGGAAAGACTTGGTATTTAAGCGTGTCCATTAGTGACCCACCTCTCTTTCCTGGGAACTTACCTGGTGTACTGGTTTACGCCGCTGTAACTATCGCCTCCGCCCTTTATGAGTTCTTCCGCTCCTTTTAGTGCTTCCAATTATGTCAGTACTGCGTCTTATCCTTCCATGTACACTAACTATGTTAATGTGCACTTATCCATTGACAAGTTAACTGGCCCTAATTATGCCACATGGTCATCGACGTCGATTATGGCTTAAGAGTCGAAGTATCTTGATCATCTTGCCCCGAAAGCACCTACTCTCACTCCTGGTGAGGAAGACCGTTGGGACACCATTGATGCTCAATTATGCGTGGTTCTCAAGGGTACTCTTGATCCTTCGTTAAAACAAATTTTTCGTTCCTACGAAACATGTGCCAAAATCCGGGAACATGTCAAGTTATTATACACCAATGATACTCAACGTCTCTATGATGTCTGTTCTAAATTTGTAGATGTTATTGTCTCTAAACATCAAGATTCTATGACTGATTATATGGGCAAAATTCATGCTCTTTTTCATGAGTTCAATGAGTTATTGCCTCCTTCCCCGACCCCCGCCACCGAGATAGGACAACGATCAAAGTTCTTCATGCTAGGGGCATTACACTGGACTTGCCGATCAATATTCACATATTCGTGATCGTATTTTGGGTTCTCCGGTTGTCCCCACCTTGACATCGACCTGCTCCACTCTTTTGCGTATACCAACAAAACCCAACCCCGACACACCCGCTTCGTTAATGATTCTTCCGCATTGGTATCTCACCGTGATGATCGAACTCGCCCTCGCAAATAGGGAAAAGGGCGTCCTAAGTGTGAACATTGTGGCAAGCTAGGTCACAAGATTGACCAAGTGTTATGCATTACATGAGTGTGAACATTGTGGCAAACTAGGTCACAAGATTGACAAGTGTTATGCATTACATGGTCGTCCTACTTGATCTACCGCAGCTTGCTCGGACCGATCTTTCCCCACCTTTATCTCGCTAAGGATCCTCCTTCTTCTATTTCATCGTACACACCCGCTATGTTCAACAAATTTCTCAAATGGTATAAGGATCAACAATCTTCTAGTTCCACCGTGTCTGTCGCACACACAGTACATCTTTTGCTGGTCCGACCCAATCTTCTTCTCGGTCCTTGGGTTTTTGATTCAGGAGCCACCGATCATATTATCGGTAACAAATCTTTGTTCTCCTCTTTATCCTCTCCCCGATCCTTTACCTTTTGTTACACTAGCCGATGGCTCTAGAGTATCATCTCATGGTGTTGGAACCGTTAAACTTTTCCCTTCTTTAACCATTGATAATGTTCTTTATGTCCCCGGGTCTCCTTTTAACCTCGTTATCCATCGCCGTCTAACTCGTTCTCTTGATTGTGTTGTTTCTTTTACCAACAATTTCGTGTGTTTACAGGACCGGAGTTCGAAACAGTGTGATTGGCACAAGATGTGAGTCTCATGGTCTTTATCATCTTCGTCCCTTTACACATGTTGGTGCAGTTATAGAGTCTCCTCTCTTCTCCATGCTCAGCTAGGTCATCCAAGTCTTGCCAAGTTACAACAACTTGTCCCCGCCTTATCTAAATTGTCTAGTTTGGCATGTGAGTCGTATCAATTAGGCAAGCATAGTCGTACTTCCTTTCCTCGTAGTGTCACACGTGGTGCTTCGTCCCCTTTTGCCGTGGTTCACTCTGACATTTGGGGACCTAGCCGCGTTAAGTCTACTTTAGGTTTTCAATACTTTGTTACTTTCATTGATGATTATTCTAGATGCACTTGGTTATTTTTTATGAAAAATCGTTCTGGATTATTTCATATCTTTCAAACTTTTTTCAATGAAATTCAAACTCAGTTCGGTGTTTCTATTAGAGTTTTGTGTAGTGATAATGGTCATGAATATCTTTCTCATTCTTTTAAACAAATCATGGCTTCTCATGGTATTTTGCATCAAACTTCTTGTGCTTATACACCTCAACAAAATGGTGTAGCTGAACGTAAAAATAGACATCTTATTGAAACAACTCGCACTTTTTTAATTCATGGAGAGGTTCCTCAGCATTTTTGGGGTGATGCTCTTCTTATCGCATGTTATCTTGTTAATCGCATGGCATCTTCTGGTTCTAGATAATAAAATACCTCATTCCATTTTATTCTCTCATGAACCACTTCATCCCTTACCTCTAAAAGTTTTCTGGTCTACATGTTTTGTTCATAATTTTAGTTCTAGTCTTGACAAGCTTTCTCCTAGATCACATAAATGTGTTTTCTTAGGGTTTTCAAGATCACAAAAAGGATACAAATGTTTTTCTCCTTCTCTTAACCCTTATTTTGTGTCTGCAGATGTCACCTTTGATGAGTTCTCTTTTTATTTTAAAAGTTAATCTTCACCTCTGTCTCCATCCAATCTTGTCAACACTCCTAGTACATTTAATGTTCCTGTTGTTTGTGACCCTCTAACTGTGTCTTCTTCATCATTAGATTCTACTCCGCAATCAGCTTCTTCTTCACTGCCTCTTCAGGTTTATAGTTGCCGAAACCAATCACAACCACCACCATGTGACTCTACTCAAGTGCCAACTACTCTGTCTCCTCCGGATGTGACACCTAAATCTGACCTTCTCATTGCCCTCCGAAAAGGTATCCGTTCTACACGTAATCCCTCTCCTCATTATATTAGTTTGAGTTATCATCGACTGTCATTACCTTTTTATACATGTCTTTCCTCTCTTTCTTCTGTGACCATTCCAAAAACTTTCTGTGAAGCTTTAGCCCATCCTGGTTGGCGTCAGGCCATGTTAGATGAACTAAGTGCTCTTCATAAAAGTGGAACTTGGGAATTGGTCTCGTTACCATCTGGGAAATCTGTTTTTTGTTGCAGGTGGGTGTTTGCTATTAAAGTTGAACCTTATGGTACTATTGATCGCCTCAAAGCTCGTCTTATGGCCAAATGTTATACTCAAATTTTTGGGTTGGATTATGGAGATACATTTTCCCCTATGGCAAATATGACTTCTATTCGTTTATTTATCGCCATGGCCACTCTTCAACAATGGCTTCTTTATCAACTAGATGCTAAAAATGCTTTCCTCAATGGTGATTTGCAAGAAGAAATCTATATGGAGCAACCTCCTGGGTTTGTTGCTCATGGGGAGTCTTCTGGGATGGTATGTCGTCTTCGCAAATCCCTATATGGCCTAAAATAGTCTCTTAGGGCCTAGTTTGGAAAGTTTAGCAAGGTTGTTCAACAATTTGGTATGACTCGGTGTGAAGCAGATCACTCTATCTTTTATCGACACTCAAGTGTTGGATGTGTTTACTTGATAGTATATGTTGATGACATCGTTCTTACAGGTAGTGACAACCATGACATCTCTCAGTTGAAATAACATCTCTGTCACCATTTTCAGACCAAAGATCTTGGCAAACTTAGATATTTCTTGGGTATTGAGGTGGCACAGTCCAATGATGGTATTTTTATATCTCAAAGGAAGTATGGCATGGATATTTTAGAGGAAACTGGGTTGATGAATTCAAAGTCTATTGATATGCCCATGGATCCCAATACTAAACTTTTACCAAATCAGGGGGAGCTTATACCTGATCCTGAGCAGTATAGAAGATTTGTTGGAAAATTGAATTATCTTACAGTTACTCGTCTTGACATTTCCTTTGTAGTCAGTGTGGTAAGCCAATTTCTTAATTCCCCATGTGAAGATCATTGGAATGCAGTCATTCGTATCTTAAAGTATATTAAAGGATCTCCTGGAAAAGGATTGTTATATGATTCTAATAACCATACAAGAGTTGTTTGCTACTCGGATGTCGATCAGGCGGATCTCCTTCTGGATAGAAGATCTACATCCGGATAATGTGTCTCCATTGGTGGTAACTTGGTCTCATGGAAAAGTAAGAAACAAAGTGTTGTGGCAAGATCTAGTGCGTAGTGCAATATAGAGTTATGGCCTCACTGCTTGTGAACTTGTTTGGCTCAAGCAATTGCTTAGAGAGTTACAATTTGGAGATGTCACTCAAATGTCACTTGTGTGTGACAATCAGCCGCTTCTTCATATTAGTTCTAATCCTGTCTTTCATGAGAGGACCAAACACATTGAGATTGACCGTCATTTCATTCGAGAAAAGATTATGTCCGGAGACATCAAGACCGAGTTTGTTAACTCAAGTGATCAGCTAGCAGATATTTTTACTAAATCTTTACGTGGTCCTAGAATTGATTATATTTGTAACAAGCTTGGCACATATGATTTGTATGCTCCAGCTTGAGGGGGAGTGTTAGATATTGTTTAGATATTATTTAATATTGTTAAGATATTGTTAGATATTAACCATAATATCAAACAATATCTTCTCGTTTATTCTCGTTACTTTCAGCTACTCTTTTAGTTGTATCTCTCTACTATAAATAGACTACCCTATGTGTGATTTATACACAAGGGAGATTAATCCCAAACTCTATTTCTTCTATATTCAACAATTAATAATATATTATTTGGCCCCTCAAGATTAATGGTCAAGATCCGCAACTCGATGGTGAAGTAGTGAGTAATTAACTAAAAATAATAATAAATAAATTTATATATTAATATGTTTAGTTGTTGGTAAGCAGTTAAGTAAAGATTATAAAAACATTATATATCATCAAGAAAATTATCAAAGGAAATAAGAGAAAGAAAAATATCAATAACTATAAGTAAACATTGTATAATAAGTCAGGTAAGTTTTTCAACCTTTCTAACAATTGGTACAGGTGGAGGTTATGACCTTAACAGAGCTATTACGCACTCTTTGATTTCAATTCCATAATTTCTTTCATTTTTATTCAAAGAAAAGAAATTATGGAATTGAAATAACTCAGTCAGAACTCCCTTTAAAAGATTACGTGGTACGATTGAATCAATTAAGCCCTTATGGAATAAATATTCAGCTGCTTGTGAATCTTCGGGTACTGGCTTATTCAATGTTTGTTCAATTACTCTTTTACCAGCAAATGCAATATAAGCATTTGGTTCGGCAATAATGATATCCCCCAACATGCCAAAACTAGCTGTCACTCCACCAGTAGTAGGAGATGTAAGTATCGATACATATAATAATTTTTTATTTGTTTGATAATCATATAAAGCAGAAGATATTTTAGCCATTTGCATCAAGCTCAAACTTCCTTCTTGCATACGCGCTCCTCCGGACGAACATACCAGAATAAGGGGTAAAAGTTGATTAGTAGCATATTCTACCAAACGAGTGATTTTCTCACCTACTACGGATCCCATGCTACCTCCCATAAACTGAAAATCCATAATACCAATTGCTACAGGAATACCATTTAGTTGACCTGTACCTGTTTGAACAGCCTCAGTTAATCTTGTTTTTCTTTGATAAGAATCCATACGATCTTTATAAGGTTCATGACTTATAAAAATTAGAGTCTAATTTTAACGAGAAAAGCTTTTATATCTCAATAATAAAACATAATTTTAATCCAGGTACCTATGTGTTGTAGAGATAACAATACGATGATCTTGACATGTTCTTAACAAACTTAAATTTATAAGAATTATATTAATTTAAAATTATATTATATATATATATATATATATATATTGTATATATAAAACTATAATCACCAAAGTGATTATAATGAGTTGGAATGATGATGTTGTAAACATGATTGTTTTGATTGATTAAGATTATTAAATTTAATTTATATGAGTTGGAATGATGATGCTATAAATATGATTGAATGAATGAGTTTGTTCAAATATGTGTTTATGTCTAATATGTTTTTTTAGGTAGTTGTTTGATCAAGTTCAATTATTTGAATTATGTTGGTTGGTTTGAAATATCCTTACTCGAGACCAATATAGAAGCATATAGGTATCTTAATTATGTTTGGGAGTAATCTAATAAATTTGCATTAAACTTCATGAGACTATCTATTATTGAAAATTTTAAGTCATCTATAACCAAAACAAATAATGCTAAGAAATTTATGAAATTGGTTAAGGATTTCTCATAATCTGACATTACTAACAAGTTGATTACGGGGAATCTAGAAGTGAGCTTACAAACAAAAAGTTTGATTGGTCTCAATCATTTCATGATTATATAACTGAAATGTCTAATTTGAAGTTCATGAGAATGAAAGTGAGTGAGTCATTTTTAGTATAGTTCATTTGAACTGACTTCCCGTTGAATTTGGTCAATTCCATATAAATTATAACACCCTTAAAAAAATGAAACTTTTAGAAAATTAAGACCATATTGATTCAAGAGGAAAACAAATTAAAAAAGATGAAGGATAAATTTGTTCATCTCAAACTTATGATGGAGTCAATGATAATAAGAGCAAGTTGGGTATAAAGGAAAAGGGTCGGACTCGATAAAGGTTAGTGAAAGTAAAATCCATAAGAATAAGAAGTGTTACTTTTGTAATCAGAATGGTCACTTCATGAAGGATTACCCTAAAAGGAAAAAACTATTTAAAAAGAAAGGTATATTTTATATATATGTAAATTTCAAATCAAATATTGTTAAAGTACCTAATAATACCTAGTGGCTTGATTTTGGAGCATCTACTCATTTGTCACATATTTTGTAGGGATTCTTTTTTATCAACTATAAGAGGAAGTGAAAAGTTTCTCTTTATGGACAACATAATGAAAGAAAGGATAAAGGGCATTGAGATATATAGATTAATCTTGGATGTTGGATGTTGGATGTCATATAGATTTAGAAGAATGTTTTTATGTATCTAGATGTGCTAGAAATTTAGTTTCTGTTGTAAAGTTGGATAAATTAGGATTTAATTTTAAGATTGGACACAATTTTTTTCTTTATTTAAAGATATGTATTGTTATGGATTTGATACATTAATAGATGGTTTTTATTGTTTCAATCTTGATGTAAAGTTTATGAAATTCTTGTTTAATGTTGAATATGTTATGGTAGTAAGTGTAATGTGCATGATGATAATTTTGTCTATTTGTGACATCAAAGATTAAGTCAAGTATCTACAAAAAAAGATAACGAGGTTCATGAAAAATGAAAATTTACTTGAATTGGATTTTGATGAGTGAGATATACGTTTGGATTGCATTAAAGGAATGCAAACCAAACAAATATCCAAGAATTCTACTACAAGGAGTACTGGACTTTTAGAATTAATATGCACTAATATTTGTGAACCTTTTGATGTTTCATCTTAGTATGGTGAAAAATATTTTATCACCTTTATTAATGCTTCTTCACATTATTGTTATTTATATCTTCTACAGGAAAAGTCTCAATTAGTAGATAACCTAAAGATGTTCATTGATGAGGTAGAAAGACAATTAGATAGAAAAGTGAAGATTATAAGATCTGAAAGAGGCGGTGAATTTTATGAAAAATTCAATGAAAATGCACTCCTTGAAAGTGCATTACAAGAAATTTATTATTTACTGACAACATATTACCTATGGATGTATATCCATTGGAATATATGCATTACCGACGGATGGGAAGTAGTATGTAAATTTGAAATTGTCGATGAAGTTTTTCATCAATAAAACTATGTTATATTTGGGAAAAATATATGTTGGTAATTTTTGTGTTTTATTGGTAAATAAGTAAAGAAAAAAGAAAAAGAAGAAGAAAGACAAAATCGCTTTAGGTTTATGTTTCGTTGATAAACCGCATTTGCATATCTATTCCACACATCCCTCAAATTCAATTCGTCCAAATTAACTAATTTTATCATAAAATTTCTCAATCTACTATGTTTGTGGTGCTTCTTTGTACAATTGGTGGTCCTTCAATTGTATTATTTCACAGAGCTGCTCTTCAATCGCAGTGAGTTGTTGCCCTAAATCATATTATGTTTTTCTTTATGCTTCAATCGTGGTGGTGCAAAAGTGGTCGTGTTGGATTTGTGAAGTGTGTCATTTGTCTTAAACCTGCAAGAGTAAAAACCGTGATAATGAGAACTATAAGATTGAAAATTGTGATAGTATGAGTGAAACTCGTTAAGTTAGTCTTCAACTCTACCTAATATTGTCTATGTAAATATAAGAAAAATCCACGAATAATAGAGTGCAAGATACCAGTGAGAAAAGTGTCACCATATAGACCCTGCATAATAACACCCAATGTATGTAGGAAGAATTTATGCTTATGATTTTTGCCAATTAATTGTTTTCAACTTTGTGTAATTTTTTTCTACTGTAATTATTTCACTTGTTTTGTTCTTATCTGTTTAATTGGTTGATTTTTTTGTAGATTTTGAACCAAATTATCAAGCCATTTGTTATTGAAAGTATTGTGATCTTCATAGTAGATGAATCTAGGAAGTTGTTGACCGCATAAGCTTTTAGGTTCACCTCTTTTATTGTTTGCAGCCTACTTAAATAACATTAATCAACTCCAGTTGCATGTTTTCTTATTACTTTGCCTTTGCTTGTATAATAGTATATATTAGTGTTCAATAGTAATAGTTATGGGTTATTGAATATGACTCTTTGTAATCCTTTGTTTTTGACCCCTTGAGAGTTGCACTACTGTATGTATCTAAGGTTACACAATGTATCAAAGGTTATAATTTTTTTTAACTATAACAAATGATATGTTTATGTTCTTATCAAATGATGGGACACACCTTTTTCTTCAGACTATTTTTCCTTGTAGTGTCTTTGTTTTGAGCTAATCGTATTAGTGTTTGAATCTAAACTAAATTAGTCAATATTACTGAAATTCATCCTAACTTTAAGGTTGGTTAAGAAAAACATCTTTATCTACCAATGTATTGGTGTATACTATGGTTTAGAATTAGATTTGTAATAACATAATTAAATTGAGAGAAACAAGAGTCAGTCTTAGGAGAATTAGTGAAGTGGGACTAAGTAATTGTTAAAAAGAGAAACTATGTATCTCTTTTGTTGAGATCATTATAATGGTAGTCTTATTTTGTTGTAATTTGTTTTCAAGATGGGACATTTTGTTTAGCTTTTATAAAGGGGGAAGTTGTTTAGACAATATAATTTTTGTGGCATTTGGATATGCACCATGAGTTTTAGAAATCAACATGGACCCTCATACTCCAACCTTCAAGTTGGATATAGTTTGATACTTCCTACGAGTATTTCTTAGTGTGTGTTTATAACTTTAATGTAAATAAATATAAATGGACTTAATCTACACAAGACCAAACATTGTTAATTGGTACCTCACTAATTAGATAATATGTTCCCAAAAATTTATTTTTTATGTGATGTTGATTAATGGAAACAAACATTATGTATTGTGTGTTTCCTAGTAATAAAATGAGTTGGCCATTTTCTGTCAATGTTGTATTTCAGATGACATTGCCAAATTTAAGTCTAATAGGACAATTTTGTATTTCATATCCTTCTTCCTCTTCTTGGACAACATTAATAGGATATTGGGACTGAAAAATAGCTTGTGGAATGCATTATTCAATTGATATAGGTTTTGTGGGTAGTAAGAAAAAAAGAACTGTTGTGGTTGCATTTGTTACATGATCTTATTGACGGATATGTTTGTTGGTTATTACCAAGGGATACTGATTTATCGGTAATTACTGACGGATAAATATTTGTTGAGGCTTCTCATGTTCACACTTATTGAAGGACTAATATCCCTTGGTAAATACCGACAAACATATTAATTTCGTTAGTATTTTTTTGCGACAACTATACTATCAACGAATTATTGACTATCGAAAATCTATTGAAAATGTTCATTTATTGACGGATATTTTCTATTATCAATGGATTTTGTCAGTTGGTAAAACCTAGTTTTCTTGAAGTGGTAAAAACATATGTGCACAATATATTATATTTGATACCTTAACAAAATGGTGTTACTGAAAGGTGAAACCATACTTTAATGGATATGGTTAGGTATATGTTAAATTGCAATATTGTACCTTTATCTTTATGAATGGATGCATTAAAAATCGTTGCATATGTGCTTAATAAGGTTCCTAGTAAGGCAGTTCTTCAGACTCCTTATGAATTATGGATAGGAAGGAAACCCAATTTAAGACATCTCCATGTTTGAGGTTGTATAGTAAAAGTAAAATTGTATAATTCACATGAAAAGAAGCTTGATACAAGAATCGTTAGTGGTTTTTTCATTGGGTATCCAAAAAAGTTTAAAGGATACAAATTATATTGTCTGAATCATAGTACAAGAATAATTGAGTCTAGTAATGTTTCTTTCATTGAAAAATGACCAATTTAGTGGGAGTGAGAAATTACGTAAGTTAGATATTGTAGAAACTCATGGTGGATCTTCTTCACCTAATGTTTCTTGTAAAAATGTTGTTCCTCTAGTTGTATTATGGTCAAATAACAAGACAACAAAATGATATCCAAAATCTACTAGATAA